AAATCCCGCCGCCGGTCGCAGCCATGGCGCGGGGCCGGTCTCATAAGTCAGTTTTGAAAAAAAGAAAATGACAGTGTGCTAGAAGCTCTCAGAGCAGAGGAGCAGACATGTCAACTTCACAGCCAAAATAAACACTTACATGGAAGGGGCTGTTGTTATTACATGGGTTCCACAGTGTATGATGGGAATGACAGGGGATGTTTGCAGGGGATTGAAATACTCTGTCAGGGGCAAGAAAGAAGTTATTCTGGTCTTTCTTTCCCATGGGAAGCAAGATATTAGTACCATTTACTGGAGCAGGGAAGAGTTGGACAGCAGGACAGGATGCAGGTTTGCGGATGAGGACTCACTGGGGAAGACTCAGAAGAGCAATACAATTGGGGAATTGCAGGGACTGGTCCCATGTGCTAGCACCTGGGAAAAGATAGTTCTCAAAGAACCCTGGTGGGTGAATCTAGGCAAATGAGCCCCACAGGCAGTTCAGAAAGGATGTTTCTCATACTCTCCTTTATTTATTATGTCTGGGGTTAGTACATTAGCCCCAGGTTCCTTCTTTTCACATTTTGACATCATGGAGTAGTAAGAAGAGAAATGAATTTAAAAAACTGAGGGCCAGCCCCATGGCCTTCCAGTTAATGGAGCCAGCTCTCACATGGCCAATTGGGCAGTTCAAATCTTGGCCCCGGGCAGCTTGACAGACATGCTGGGTGAGTATAAGTGCATGCTCAATGTCCAGGCAGGATAAAGACATGGATAAGAGATTGCAGTGTGACCACACCCCATTAGGGGAGGCTTTCTCTCTCCTCCTCTGTCTCTCTTTAATGAGTACATCTTCCTTCTGGAAAATTGAAAGAAAGAGAAAAACAGAACATCTGCCTTATGCAGAAAAGAGTAGAATGCCATGGGCTCTGAATGAATTCAGACCAGAGGTCTAATCCTAGCACCATCACTTACCAGTCAAGTGAACTCGGGAAAGTCACAAAGCTTTATGAGGCTCAAGCTATTTATGAGGTGAGCTCATAAACTGGGCCTTGTAGGACTCCTGGGATGCATGTAATGTGAGAGGCCCTGGTACAGCACCTGGAGTTTATGGCATCTTTAATAATTGGCAGTTATTACTATTTTATTATTTGGAACCTCCTCTGCGAGTTCTGGGTGGGTAGACCTCCTCCGTGTTTGTATTTTAATTTTTTCTTGTAATTTCTGGTTTACATTTAATTGTTGTACATCTTTGTGAGGTATGCTTTTGTTTAAAGCTTGTATACAGTGTGTAATAATAAACTAAGAGATGTCAGAGAATATTCAGAACTCTATGTAATGACACATAAATCAGCCAACATGCTGCTTAACAAGTAAAGCTAAGTTACCATACATACTATATAACTTTTTGATGGTATTTTGTTTATTGTTGGTGTGGAGGGATCTTCCCTGGTTGGATGCAACTTAAGGCTCCCAGAATTTCTGTCTAAGGCTAACTCCTTTCATCCCATCCAGTTCTTCTTCCACCCAAACCACCCCTATTTTCAATTATTTCACTCCCATTAAAAATCTAGTCCCTGGAGTCAGTGGGTGGGGTGCTGGACTCCTGCGTAGCTGACCACGATTTGAGTCTAGGAACTGGCAGCTTGAGAATCACACCAGGTGCATGTGCATGTATGGCCAAGATGCTGAAACGAGGGGTGGGGGGAAGGGAACTGCGACGTGGCCATCCCCTGAGGGTGATTTCTCACTTTCTTTCTTACTGTGTTTTTTTTTTCTCTCTCTCTCTCTCTCTAGCAAGTCTGTGCACCCTATAATAAAAACCTTAAAAAAATTCTAGTACTCAGAGTAGAACTCTGAGGCTCTACCAACTGAGCTATGTGAGCTGTAAATAAGTACAAATAGTATGTCAATTTAAAAAATCAGCCTTAAGAGCTTGGCAAATTACACTGAAGAAAATCTAACAAAATGCCCTTTCAATATAGTGGGTTATGTCCCTCCCAGACCAGAGCAAATATTGTCAGCAGAGTGGTTTCTGAGCACACCCCTGACAGGTTATACCATGCTTATTTCTCAGAAACTCCTTGGAGCTTATGTACGTATATACTGTGGACTGTTCTTAAGCACTTCAGGAAAAAAAAAAAAAA